GGGGGGACTAAAAACGACTATTGACTTCACACTAGTCTACCGTTCAAGCTGTCCAGAAACATGACAACCACCTCTGTATGTATTGTGGATTCTAAGAAACATGCCTTTTAGCAACTGATTTGAACTTGGTCTGCAGGGCTACTACGACACAATGGACGCCGGCTTCCGCGACGAGTTTGGCTACGTGTATGTGACCGCGCGGGACGACGACGTCATCAACGTGTCGGGGCACCGCCTCGCCACCTCCGCCATCGAGGACGTCGTCATGTCGCACCCGGACGTGATCGACACCGCCGTGGTGGGCGTCCCCGAGCCCACTCGCGGGGAGGTCCCCCTGTGCCTCTTTGTCATGAGACAAGGTGAGTTGGAAGAGACTCCATCAGACAAAAATATACGTTGTTTTACTGTAATGATTCATGACCGGTTTCTATTGATTGCAAATGGCCAGGCGCCCAGAAGAAGGAGTCTGAGATTTCCCGAGAGTTGGTGAACATGGTTCGGGAGCTGATCGGGGCCATCGCCGCCTTCCGCCTGTCGGGCGCCGTCAGAGGGCTGCCCCGTACGCGCTCGGGGAAGACGGCGAGGAAGTCCATCGCAGACCTGGCCAGGAACAAGTTTGTCAAGGTGATGAACGAGAGCACGGCTGTCTGGTGGTGGGCGATAACTATGTGCTCTGCTTTTGGCCGATGATACCTTATTGTAACCCCTACACCTACACTAAACATAATTATAGAAATACAATGGTATAGATCGAACTTTAACTCTCAATGTAGGGAAAAAGAGGAGCAGGCGATAGAATAGTAAACTAGAAAGGCTAGGGGGAACCGTAAGTAAGGCTAAAGCGGTCTATGAGGCTTCGCGCGTCGCGCCCCGGCCATACACTTCCGGGCAACCACCCGCTCCGCCCTTCTCCTCCCGTCCCTTCTTCTACGCCGCTAGGCCTATGGATTGCCGTCGTTTCAATACAGCTACTCCGTAAGCTTCAAACAGCGAATGACGAAATGGCTCTCACCATCCTCAAGCCTAGCGTGTAGATAGCGCTCGCGTTTTGGAAACTCTGAATCACCTTCGTAGTTAAAATAAACCGCATGTTGTCGTGCGGGTAGGTCGTCCTCCTACCATCTCTGGCTGGTTGTTTGTTTGTTTGTTGGTTTGTTTGTTTGTTTGTTTGTTTGCTTGTTTTTTTTTTTTTTTGTTTTTTTTTTGCTGTGGGTATTAATGCTGGATTTAGTCTTGTGGGGCGAGGCCCGTAACTCTGTCCTCACCTCATGTCAGCTGAGGCACGGGTCTCACAGATTTCGAGGGCTCTGATTGGCTTGCCAAGCTTGGATAGCCAATCACAGTCTTCAAAATCTTTGAAGCCCGTGCCTCAGCTGAGGTGAGTACAGAATTACGGGCCTCGCCCCACAAGACTAAATCCAGCATTAACACTTGTGCTTGTCTCTATGTGTACGAAATGGCGTTCACACACCTCCAAATGTGCGATATTCATAGATACACTTAGGTTTCCGGTGTATAGTTTCGGGGCACTTCGGCACATCGAAACGCTTACTGAAGAAATGCCAAGTGAACCGATTTTACTGTAAATACTCTCTGTACATTTCCCACATAACTTTTACGCTCGCTTTTACGATACAATGAAACAGCGTTTCGTTACTTATTACTTGAATGCCTGCCTTCAACGTTATTCTACGCGTTACAGTTATAACTTTTTATGGGATACTTTTGAAACTAAGTTATAGGTGGCATACACATGTGATAGGGTTGCGTGTCTCATCGCATACATGTTTTAATATAAAACAAAATCAGAAAATTTTCGCCTATGATTAGAAAATTGCAGTTTTAAGTGTTGCTATATGGATAGAACTCTTAGTCTTGCTGTTAAAACTGACATCTTGTACTAAGTTTGATGCGCAGAGTGGCGTTAGAGAGAGTCTATCTGTACAGCATTAGCGCGACTTTTATTGACATACTCGTGTTTGCAGATTCCCGGGACGATCGAGGACCCAAGCGTCTATCGAGAGATCAAGATGGTACTCCAGAAACTAGGCTACGCTCGGACCGCACCTGATCCAGAATGATTGAAGGGCACCGCAGTATCTCGTACAAAAGTGATGTGATGTAGTGATAATAAATTGTTATACAAACATTGGCACGCAAAATACCCCGCAAAATTTGACACAGATGATAATTTCTTGGCCAATAATGGGCCAGTGAAATTGTAATTATTATGAAATTAACAACTTTGTTTGAATATATATTTTTTTTTATTCTGGTCGCGTCAACCACAATGATTAATGCTAGAACATTATGTAAGAGTTATTTAAGCTTCTCTGAATGCCATTTTTTACCTGTTAAACAAATTGTGCCGGGCTGGAATCTTCAATTAACAAATTTGAATATTCAAAGATGAATGGAAAGTGTATTTATTTATAGAATTATTCCCTTAATCAGGGGTTCTAATGTCTGCAGGACGGACATTTCTACGACTGACGAATTAGCGGTACTTTAGCGTGTCACATCTCGCTGTAGCTGGCCGAAATCGAACGTGTACCACCAAATGGTTCATCGAAGACTCAAACACTGTATAGTTGTAGGATAGCTGAATGTATCGGCAAAACATCACAAGCCGGGCGATCTTGATTAAATAAAGGAATTCAAATGTATTCAACAAGTCATTTTCATTTGCCTGCGTTTACTGTCAAAAAAATTTATGTGGTTAAACCACAAATTACAGAAAGATCCACAACAGATGCGTTGTGCAGATTGCTAGAGACTGAAAATTGCTTTTTTAGGGGGAAGGGGGGGACAAACTCGTCTGTTCTTAGAAATGATAAAAGAAACGGAACAGAATCGTACAGATTGCTTTTGTCTCATAAATTGTCTGTCATTCAAGGGGTAGGGACCTATCTGTGACAGATATTGTCTCTTAGTGATACTTAAGGCTTCCGAGAATTCCTCTAGATCGCGGTAGATGGCATTCTACTGACATCCCGGGTGAAAAAACATTGACAGTAAGTTTGTATACAGAGGTATACAAGTAATTGTATAAAGCTGTATAAAGGTAATTGTATTACATTTGGTAAAACTGTATTACTTTGTCAGTATACCTTTTTATAAAATATTATAGAATATATACTTGAGCGTTTCAATTTACTCACGGGAAAAGCGGCCTGAGTGGGTGGCTGTCGGTTTTCGCAAATATGTTTTCCGAATCATCTTTCTGCCCTGAGCACGATAGTGGTTGTTTCACTTCCCTATG